AAACTCAACCTGTTAGTCCACACTTCTCTGTTCCCGTACAAAACCCCAGCATTTAAAATTTTCTAGAATCATTGATTGCCATTGAAACATGATATTTATACTTTTACTAAATACTCCTTTACAAGTATTACGATTAGATTAATACAGGGAAAGGAAGAAAACTCTTCTAAGGTCTAGTGAGTCCTGACTCGAGTTAGAAATTTTGAGGGAACATAACCGCCATCTTATGCCTACTTTGAGTACTGCACTGAGAACCCGGACATCTGCGTCAGCAACGCACACACGTGTACGTCCGGACCACACATGCAGACCCGAGGGACACAATATGTACCTCTCCTTGTACGTTTCTACTTTGCTGTGCGCGATGAATAGCTCAGAGTCCATATTTTGTCGTCCAGTCGGTCTCTAGCGATCCAACTGGACTGGCTAGCTGACGGAGAGTCTTTTTTTTTTATCATAACGGATGTTCCTCTCCTTCCATCGACGGAGGTCCGCGCACGGGCAGCGGTTTCCGTTTCGTACTGGCGATGACAGCTGGTTTTCATTTTACGTTTTCCGCGCCGTTTTTCGCTAAGCGAAAACCAACCCTCAGACTTAAAATTATGCTGAGTGGATTATGATGAATGAATAGTATCGAAAAGATAACTGAAAGAAAATAAAAGGGTTTTGCATCGGGCGTAATTCTCTGTCCTACTTTTCAATGAAGTGACCATGGATTTACATACATACATACATACATATTCTTGGCCGCTTTTCCGAAGTTAATGGGGTTGCTGTTCGAGCATTCCCAGGAGCATCCTCCAATGATCTCGATCCTGGGTAACGGACTCTGTCTCAGTTGGTGGGATGCCGAGCCTCTCGTGACCAAGCCGAGCAACGTAATCACTCCACCTTGTACGAGGTCTACCGACAGGTCTTTTGCCGGCCATCTTGGCCTGGAAGACTCCTCTTGGAAGCCTTTCAGGGGGCATGGGGCAGACGTGACCAAACCACCTGGCCTGAGACGTCTCGATCCGGAGAAGCAGCTGCTCGACGTGGAGATTTTCGCGGATGGCAGAGTTCCGCATCCGATCACGGCGCGTCACGTAAGCCGCACTGCTCCTCTTGGATGGCATCACCCACGACTTCCCGAGCTCTCTTTCCAGCACCTTGGAATAGACTAGCAATGGCCAGCAGAACTTCCTCCATGGTGAGACTAGTCTCCGCGCTGAGAGGCTCCAGGTCGGGTAGGTCAGTGTCCACTGTTGGTGGGTTTAAAAGCTCTTCAAAGTGTTCTTTCCACCTCCCAAGTATATCCGCCTCGGCAGCCAACACCTCCCCGTTCCTTTCTTTGATGACCCGGATGTATGTTGCTTATGTATGTTGCTTGCCTTGCCGTAACCTTCGGATGGTTTGCCAGAACACCTTGATGGCAGTGCGGTAGTCTGATTCCATTTGATCGCCGAATTCATTCCACTCCTAATGTTTCGCTTTGGCCATAACAAGAGCAGCAGTTCGTCGCGCCTCGGTATAGCACGCCCTAGAAGAATCAGACCTACTGGACATGTACGCCCGGTAGGCTACCTTCTTGACAGCGACAGTCTCGCGCACCGTTGGTGTCCACCAGGGGGTGCGCCTGGCGTTACCGTCAGCCACTCAGATGCACTTCTCCCAACACACTCTTGCTGCCGCCGCCGAAACACCAGACCGAAATAGAACCCAATTAATTTAATAGGTCGTCGAGGGCCAACGGAATGGCCTGCTCGAAGTCCAGATTTAACGCCGTGCGACTTCTTTCTGTGAGGCTGGGCGAAAGGATTAGTTTAAAAATCAAAACCAAGGGCCATTGATGAACTTGAAAACAAAATTCGTGATAGGCAATGCACCAGGTGACTTCTTGAGAAAATCTGTTGAAAATGTACCGGTAAGGTTACAGAAGTGTGGACAATGCTGGAGCCTACGTTGAATTTTAACTTTGTTATAAAGTAAACGGAAAAAAATAAGCTTCAATTCAGTTAAAGAAAATTTTCAATATCTCCTTTGGTTTAGGAGCAATAACAATTTAAAAATAGGGAGTGACCTTTCAGACACCCTCTATATAAAGAAGAGTTTGTCTGTCTGTTCCTTTATGCATTCCCTTGGAGCCAACGCAAGCAAACTTTGCATGGCCTCCTCTTTCATCCAGGCGAAGGTCGAAGGTATGTTTCGATATGAAATTTTCACTCCCGGGGTACTTTTCTGGGGGGCTGTATTATCTGAGATGGCAGATTCGGTGGTGCAGTGGTAGCATACCTGACCGACGATCAGGGGGCCCGGGTTTGATTCCCGGGCCGTCCACAACTTTTTTTTTCCCTTAAAAATAATTTAGAAATTACTCAAAGCGTGCAAAAAAAAATTTTAAAAGGGAAAGGGGTCCGAGCGCATTTTGCGACACACAAGAACGGTAGCTTATAGGAGACCATAAGGCTTACGTTCCCCAATTAGTCATGCATGCGATATTGAATTTCCCTGGGCAACGCCGGGTACTTCCGCTAGTCCTATATAATTAAAACACAATGAAGCTGCGTTCGCGCATGTGAAGCCTCCGATGCTTGTGTCTGAGTGCATGTCCGCAAGTCCATGTCCTTGAAACAGAGAGGTGGACGCAAGAAATGGGGTCAAAGGTTGACCTTGATGTGTTTACTCGACACATCTTACTTAGACAGTCTAGAAGTAGAATTAGCATAATTAGCAGTTAATCCCTCATCCAGCTAGTAGCACGGTATTCCCACTTTACGGATCGCATTTTCGACGACGATGACGAATCGGTTCGACTTTTAAATTTCTTTTAATTTGCTTCTGGCTATGATGGGTCTTCCTGGGCGCAGTATGCAGGGCGCATATTCTTTACACCCGCTTCGATGAAAAAATGATTTGCATACGAGTGGGACTTGACGGATGGCTCAATGTTGTGATTGGGCGAGGGACAGAAGGAGAGAGCAATGTGAGACGCGAGGAGGGACGCAGCGCTTGGAGGCAGCGACAGGGACAGCGACAGCGGTCACCGATCGCGACGGCTCCGTTCCCGGGGGATAACAGCAGCGACAGGTCCGTGTCGCGGAGGAGGTACTCGTCGGCGTCGTCGCAGTCGTCCACGATCGCCGGACAGGAGTGGCTGGGGTCGGATGAGCTTCGAGTCATTCGGTCGTTCGGTCCGTGGACGAAAACCAGGATTTGGAGGATGGTAAGCGGATCAGCACTTCGAGGACTTACGTCGGGGAATTCGGGAAACCCCAAGGGCCGCAAGGGAATCATTCCGCGACCCATAACCGCGCCTACAGTTATTCGGGATCGGATCCGTCGAACCCGTTTAAGAAGTTCGATTGGGAGGATGCGGGCAAGACGCAAACCCAAGGTGAAAAATACTCCAAGACCCGAGCAAATATAGTAAATAGTAAAGCCAGACGTAAATCGGATGTACAATTGTTACTTGGGACCATGATTCAGGAAGCGTAGGAAAGGAACGCGGTATAATGATGCCGCGTTCTTTGCTTGTCTTCGATGCAGTTAATTGTGTTTTTCAACTTGTTGAACATACTGAGTACCTGGAAAACACAACAAGGAAGGTTGACCCAACGGGCAAGGCTAATATTATGCTATTCAAGTATTTTTCATACGAACCTAAACAAAACCTTGCTTTTTATTATTTAAAAGTGGCTATATTCCACCTTATGCCCGGCTATATTTCTGCAACAATTGGGGTCACGTATCCTTCTAGAACCAATGGGAAGTGAGGGTGAAGTTCAAGTTGGAGTTGGTGGTTGAAGAAAGGATAAACCGTTGAAAATCGGTTTTAATATCACTATTGCTGAAAGCGAAGACTCTCGGATGCTCGTCGATCTGCTTGGAATTTCCCCCCATCGTCACGGTTGCCGGATCCGTCATCTTCTTACCGTCCTCCCATCCGTCTTCCTCACTCTTGCACTTTCCTGCCTTTTCGGCACGAGATCGCATCTGCTGCGATGAAACTCTCAAAACGGGTTTTGCAAGAGGCGCATGCAAATGAAGGGTATTCGTCTTTTTACGTTCGACGAGTTGGCGATTCGGAATCATTGGTCCCGCCCAATCCGTGAGACGCGTCCGATATCTATAGGTCGTATCAGCAAGCTTTCGCTTTTAAATTTTCGCGTAGATGTCAGGAGTGTCCACTAGCAGTCGCCTCTCTGCAGACGTGCTCAACCGGCAAAGAAAGCAGACGATGTCGACAAAAAAGATAGCTTCATTCATGTCCATAGGAAAATGTAGGACAAAAGTGGAAGTTCCACCAAGGGAAGTATCGATAGCTGTTTCAAAAGCTTTGCCATTCTGTCAGCCATGTTCTGTATCGCAGAAATCTGCATCTGTTTCCCCTTAAAATAATTCGGTAATTCCTAACACGGGTCTTTAGGCGAGGAGGAAATCCGAACGACAACCCACGGTTTCAATATGGAATGGTGACGAGCCGATGCGAGATTCCAGAGAGATAAAATCTTTCTACGTGAAGAGGTCGAGGAACGGCACGGGACTCATCAACGCTCTTCGGATCCCGAAAAGAACAGAAACTATCGTCGTATCGGGGGTATTGCACTGGGCCAATTCGCGCTGCGTTCCCCTCGCTCACATCATGTGGATCTGGGGGATGGGACTCTTGGTGGAGTCCCGGGCGTCCGGGATGGGCGGGAGAGGCCTCGCGTTGGTGTAGACCACTTTTTAGTGGGCCTCCTTTCCCGAAAGGAAAGAGACCACTTTTGTTCCCGTCTTGTCCGTCCGTGTGTCACACTTCGGTTGTCCAACGATAACTAAAAATGTATTGACTTGATCAATGGGAAAATTGGCAAGCAAGTTGGGATGAAGAAGATGCAGGCTAAGTTTATTTCGTGGCAAATTCGCCCCAAAATTGTTATTTTTATCGCGAATTTTGGATTTGGAATTTGCTCGCGGAGAGGGGGGAGGGGGTGGGAAGGCATGAGTTCTCGAGAGCCCTCGACAAAATGAGGGCCTTCTTAAACGAAAGGAGGCCCACTATTGGAATGGGCTCGTCCACCTTGTTCCTCGTTTGACTGCAGGCGATCGGTTTCACGGGTCAGGACGTCGATCTCGGCGTAGATGACGTCCTCTTCCTGCTTCTGTTGGGCTTCGTCCAGGGTCTCGTAGTCCGAGTTGGGACGGGAGTGAGCGGGGATCGGGTTGTAGTAGGAGGGACTGGAGGATCTGGGTGGGTCGTTTGGTGCTTCCGATCCCTTCGTCTTAGTCATCTTCGACTTGTTCACCTTGGCGCAGAGGGGGAGGATGTCTGCAGTGACGTTCGTCGACATCATGATGTCGGGCATCGTGGTGCCCTTGGGGGTGTAGAGGGGCTTCAAGACCGGGAGGTACTGGTATCGATGCTCCCGGTTCGACTGTCCCTTCCCCGGCACGTCGTATATGAGAGAGGGATTGTCGTCGACGGAGGACGAGCCGTCGGGGATAGAAGAGTCCATCTGGGATGGGAGTCCATCTGGGTAGATAGAGATCGGCTCCAGGGAGTCGTAGTCGCCTGTCGCTGGAGTCTGGCCAGCGCCGGCGGCCGAGGAGAAACGGCTGCGGGTCGACAGGGTGTAGACCTCGTCGTAGAAATGGTCGCGGGCCTCGATACCGGGGCAGCGTGGGGTGGAGCGCGGATTTAGCACGCTCTCCTTCACGTCGCCTCGAGAACGCCTGCAAAACAAGGGAAACTGCATATCGTATGCAGAGAACGATCCATCCCTACTCATTTTTATACTGGAATAGCGAAAACGAGACTCTTTCCGAACATGCATCGGATTTTGAAAATATCATTCCTCCGAAGGAGCTTTGGAAAACTAACCCACGTGTCTCAATTATCTCCAAAAACAATTCGTCATCGGTCTTCGTATTCCTGGGCTCATTCCAGAAACCACTCCCCCACTCCGGAAACGGAGGCAAGACATTACCTGCGCTTGAGAAAGAGATATCCCATGATGGCCAGAACGAGACACAGCACGACGGTCATGACGGTGATCCCCACGATGACCTCCACCTTCGACGCCTCCTTCAGTCCCCCCGTCACATTCCCCTCTCTTTCCTTCGCTTCCCCTTCCTTCACCTCCTTCGCACCCTCGTGTTCGTCATTCGTGCGGCGCACCTCTGTCTCCAGACTCCGTCCTCGGTCCTCCCATGTCTCGCTCATGCAGTCCACCACGACCGACTCCCACTTCCCCGAGTCGATGCATCGGGTCCTCAACTCCCTTCCGCCTTCAACGATCACGCGTCGGTCACTCGAGAAATTAATGCACTTGGACCAAGAGGCCGAAGTGAGAAACGCACCATCCGGTAGGATGAATCCAGGATCACATCGATAAACAGCAACGGCCTCCCATTCGGTGGATCCGTTGGGAAGGATCGATCTCGCATTTGCGAACGACGGTGGAACTGGACACTGCACCTCTACAATAATTAGCAACATACGACATATGGTATGAAAAAGTACCATGTACTTAAAAAGAGACATAACTTATATCAAAATTAAAAAATTGGGAAGCGAATGAAATACGCACTCTTGCACTGCGGTACAGACCCGGACCAGACCCCAAGAGGACCGCAGGTCCTCGTGGCATTTCCCCAGAGAAGAAACCCTGGGTTACACTCGTAGATGGCCCGAAGCCCGAACACGTATCTGCCTTTGAAGTCGGGGAAGAGGAAGAATCCATTCTCGATCTGCACCGGCGCCTCGCACTCTNCCCGATCCCCTTCCTCCCCCCCCCCCCCCCCCTCATCACGCCCCACTAACTCCCATCAATAAGCGATTTGACAGACCGACACACGTCGGAGGCAAGGATGACCACTTCCCGTCAGCCAGGCAGTTCCGTACCGTCTCCCCCTTCAAGATGAAGCCGGGGAGGCAGGAATAATGAGCTTGGTTCTCCGTCCGGTTCACGCTGCTGTAGATCGGCTGCTCGGGGTCTCCACATGCCACCCTGTCTGTGGGTATAGCGAAAACTTATTTCTTCCTCGTCATTCTACTTTCCCATAGCGGTATACATTAGATGAAAAGAAAGTAGGGAGTTAACTTTTTTTAGGTGGATGTGAAGGGATGTTAAAATTTCGGATCGAACGTAGCATTACAATTTTTTTTGCATTTTAACATTCTAAGTAACTGCAGTGTGGGCAAAACTATGGCTCTTCGATAATTTATTCACGACATAAAAGACCCGGAATCCATTGAAGAGCAATGCATTTGAATACTTCGACTCTTTGGTACAGTCAGCGACAAAAATACTCCAACATCACCTCCACCGTCTTCGACATTCGTCGCCTAACGCGACCGCCACTGGTCAATGAAAAGTCTAAAAATAACTGGGAAATAGCACCAGGAATTTCATGTAAGTGCTCCGCGAACCAAACTGCCAAATCAAAAAGGCCAATTCAACGTCACATATCAGGCGCTATCACGTCAGATAAGTCCAGAGGCAATACGGCGACATTTGTATGAGACATACGGTGCGTGACGCCATCGTGTGGGAAGACTAATGAACCCAGGGGAGAGACCATACACATATACAGTATACAAATTCATGTATTCAATATATGAAGTTTGGAGAGCACTTCAGATGAAGGTTTTTCGAATGTCCACCTCCCAAAATCGGTGGTATCGCTAACGATTAAACTGAAAATAAAAGGCTATCTCCCACAGATTTCAGAGAAGTCAAATCTTCTGCGTTCACAAATATAATAGCAATAATAAATAATAATGGACCAGTGATGACTAGTGATGATAATAACTAGTGAAAGAGGCTTTTCGATAAATATTTTGCCCGTACTCTCCAGTTTGATGAGGGACTTGGCCATATCATTCATATATTTTGTATTTGTGGGACTAAGATTGAATGAAGACCTCCTTGAAAAACACTACTGCTCAAGGCACTACTGTACATATTTATTTGAGATTGCCCACTTCTCATGCCTGGATGAGAAGTGGGCGGAGTACTCATTGAAATATAGACACTAAACGTCTGTTATTTTCACCATGGGCCATTCTCGTATCTTGCCAATAGTTCAGATCATGGGCTGAAGTGGTGCAGGTTTCGCCCAGACCTCATCGATAAGTCCAGAATGCAGCAAAGGTACTATAACGAGACTGCGAGCATAAGTGTCACAAAAAAGCATACAAGACTCTCATGCTTCTTTGCGAAGGACTCCCTCCCGTCAGCTCTTACTCCGATCCACATGACCGAGATCCCGTCACGTTCGCGCCCTAGTGCCCATTCCCCTACTTACCGTACTCCTGTGTGGAGACCTGCAAGGGAGGAGTGGATGCACCTTCGCCCTCCATGCTTTTCGCAGCGAGCCAAATGAAGTACTGATTGTTCGGACGAAGGCTGGTGAGGAGGTACTCTTCCACGACCGGAATGCTTCTGCGATTCACTTCCTGCACACCACAGACAACAAAAATGCTCACTTCTTGTTGTCTTGGCACATATTCTGATACCAAGATGAGGATCACAAATACTAGTAGGGTATTAGAAACTTATGAGAATACAAAAACATAACTGGACGGATTAAAAAACCACCACACAATTCAGAGTCAAATCCTAAAAATGGTATTCCACTTCATCCCATAAACTGGCAAATCCATACTCTCAGGGAACAGAACACTATACTGCATGCACAATTTATCGGCAGCAACATGACAATTACATGGGATCGCAGAAAATGTTTCACTTAAAAATTAAATCATTTCAAAGAAACATTCTCATTGCATATTCAGAATAATATCTTTAAAATGTTTAAAGGGACACGGTCAAAATCAAATTTTCGAAACGTCAAGCCTGAGCGTGTCCTGAACGCTCTAAATAAAAGTATTTATTCCGAGTCCTAAGATAACACTCTCCAAGCGACGATTTCACAACCCAAAACGCCATAACAGGCGATGATCTTATCAGACGTAGTAGATAGTGACGGCAAGACAAAGTACAATGACCTAGCTTATGCCTGCACGAAACGCAGAGTACACCGTTCACTTCCTGCCAATTTTAGATAATTGAGACAGTTATGCACTCCGTCGTCCTCCGACCGTAATAAAAAAACCCACGTGCCATCTCACCGTCGAATTGGCGACGTTACAGTACAACTCGTAGCTGATGATGGAGTTGATGGCGTGGTCCGGCCGGTCCCACTTGAGTGCGATGGTCGTCGGCGTCCGATCCACCATTCGCAGGTTGTTCGGCTTGGAAGGAACTGCAAGAAACGCAAAAAAATCCTCTTTCNGTGGATAACAAATGATGAAGTGTCCGTGTTTATTGATTCCTATAATGAGACTAGGCGAGACATACGGCAAGGTACTAAACAATCCCGCAAGGGACGATTCCAGGGAAAGAGAGAAGGGAACTTTTGTGTACTGTGCGAAAAGCGAGACCCTTACCGCCATCTAGGGGCCTGGCGAAGAACTTCAAGGTGTTCACTTCAATACGAGCGATGAGGGAGCATTTGGTGAGTAATAAGACAGTAAATTCGAAAGGCTCCCGGTGTGCTCCCTTTTTACCCTCCAAACGCTAGGAATTTTCTAAGAGTGTAGGAATAGAACGAGGGGAAGTGAATCGAGCTGGAATCGAGGTCCTACGACTTTCTCGTCGATGGCAGAGAGGTTAATGACATCTGGCATCAGAGCGTACACCCAAGCAGAGAAAAAAAAAAGTTTGTCAGCGGGAAGACGAGTCCGACTGGCAGATTACCATAATTGCTGATCTCTGCGAGCACCAAGACCCATAGGGCAACCTCCTTGGTCCACGCTACTTAGAAGTGTTGAACATACGGTCCCCATACGGCCGTCATTCAACGCATATTTACTTGGTTTGTATGTGGGGAGGGGGGGGGGGGGAACCGGGATGGCATTCAATTCCTATCACACAAGGGAATGACAGATCCGCATCCTGTCGTGAAATCGAGAAAGGACCGGTCGCGACTGGCGGATGAAAAGCCTTTTTACGGCCTAATGAGATGTGCAAAAGGCGGTCCCGGACCGACCAGAACGGCGACGGAAGCCTCCCTAGAGTCTCATGGACGTGACAGACGGACTCGAGACTCTAACGATAGGGCAAATGAATGCAGGGAAGATGCACGGGCATGAAAGGATCAGAGAGAGAGAAAAAAAAAACAATTGGACGAGGATGGGCCTGAGCAGCGCATTACGCGTCTAGGGAGAGAGAAAAGCACACGCCCCGAGCAAAACCACTCTACAATCCGCCGTTTGTCCGTCAACATCCACACGATCCCGCCATTGGGGATTCCGTTGGATTTAGCGACCTCTCGCGGTCGTCTTCCACGGCGAGCATCGCACAACGGCGTCGCCACGGACGACGCGCAACGACGATCCGAAAATCGATGCGATAAAGACGCAAGAGCATATACCTCGCTGGATGCGGATGCCGACGGAGGCAATATTGGACCTTCGTCCCAGGTTCACTTGCCACCACCTGCATGAGAATCCGAGGCAAATCAACATCACGTGATCGAAATGTAAATAAAGGTGATGAAATGTGCCCAACCTCGACGAACCCGTGTCCCTCAGCGCGTACGAGCACGTTCCCGGGTCTCCGTCCACGGCCAGATCCGACAGATGATTCGATGACGTCAGGCTCTGCTCGCTCACCTTTCCACGGGCCAAGTTGAACTCTACGACCCAAAATCCGACATTTTTTTCCTTCTCGGCCGAGGAAGAGTCGACCGATGAAAAGCGTCGAACGAGAGAATCATCTCCACGACGACGTCTTTCTTTTCTTTTATCTTCTTCTCGGAGGTTTCAAAGCGGCGTGATCATATACGAGGCGCAGCCATAAAGTAATTTGCGGAGCAAATCATGCGAACTTTGGACTGGTGGGGGCGTGGCCCAATTGAATTTGTAGTGGCTGTCAGTTACAACTTTTTGCCAGTTCGTAAGCAGCGTCGGAAAAGAACCCTGGTTTTCATACTTGTTAAAATCGTTGAAAATGAGTGATTTTACGAAAAGAACAGCAGCGCGCGGTGAACAATTTTCTTGCCGCGAGAGGAGAAAAACCGTGTCCCATTCATCGCGAACTATCAGAGATCTGTGGCAATAATGAAGCAATAATGGAAGTCTGTGGCAATAATGAAGCAATAATGAAGCAATAATGGAAGTCTGTGGCAATAATGAAGCAATAATGGAAGTCTGTGGCAATAATGCTCTGGACGAACGTAACGTTTACGTACGAACGTAAACGAGTTTGCAGAAGGAAGGGAATCGACGAAAGATGGACCTCGTTCATGAAGACGAAGACCTTCACAGCCGGTCAAAAATCGCAAATGCATAGTCGATTACGAGGAACAGAAGATTGACAATTGATGAAACTTGCGGCAAGGCCGGTTCGACACACGGAACGTTTCGCGAAATCATTCACGAAGACTGGAACATATCGAAGTTAAGAAGAAGAAAAGCAACCAGCTCTCATCGACGCATGCGAAAATCTAACGCGATATCGGGCGGATCCCGACTTTTTTGGCACGAGTCATCACCGAAAATGTAAACTGGATTCCGCCGTTCAACCCGACAGTCCAAACAGCCCAAACGAAACAGTCCAAACAACGGAAACACGGGGACTCGCCTCCGCCACGAAAAAGTCCTATATGCATTTTTTGGGATGAGGAAAGTCTCATACGCTGTTCTGAAGGATACCACGATAAATGGTATACCATTTTAACATTTAACAGTAAACGTAACATTTTCAGGGATGATCTGCTGCCGGCGACCGCAGAAAAAGAACCGGATCTGGTGGGAAAATTCATCCTGCACCACGATAACGCTCCAACTCACGGAGCACGCGTTCGACTCGATTTTTTTGTCATCGAAAATTCCATGGAAACGTTACGCCTCATTCCCTATTCCCCAGACCTGGCCCCATAGGAATTTTGCCTATTTTGGAAATGAAAGAATCAATTGCAGGGGACTTCGTTCCCTTCGAGATCGGCACTCGTTTCGGCAGTTTTCCAGCGGTTTCGAAAGTGGGTAGAGCGATGGCAGGAACGTTTGGACAAAAGGTGAGATTATGTTGAATAGTAGAATAAGTTTGAGGTGTGTATTTGGACGAGTAAATTTTTTTTTTTAACAAAACAGGCATTACTTTATGACTGCACCTCGTAAATATCCAGTTACATCTGTACACAAAAGGCCGGACGAAAGCAAAGGGCAAGGTCCTGCCCTTCATCCACGCACAGAGGCTCTTTAGGGAAGCACAAATATATTAATACCACCACACCGAGAAAGAAAACGAGGATCATCCTTTTCTTTCGGGGGTCACAAAGGAACCTTTTGTTCTCCGGCCTTCGTGACTCCATCCTTCAAACATTTACCAAGAAATCGCCCCAAAAACTGGGAAAATACGGGAAAAGTCACCGACCGCACGTGGGCAGCCTCCCGCTCCACGTCCCATTCTCCAAGCACATCCGCTGCCTCGGCCCGAAGAGGACGAACCCGTCCGCGCATTGGTACGTGGCCAGGTCCCGGTTGAAGTAGGAGGTGGCTTTGTCGACGATCCAGCCGTTGGCAGGCTGGCCGGGTGATCTGCACCGGAGACCACTGGCACCTGGGAAGCATAAAAATGTACGTGAAGAGATCTGGAGATTCGGACGAGCTTCTTTGGAATTCGGACACAGAGATAAAACGAGCGAGATAAGCATCCTCTCGTTATTTCGCCATGAAAAATGAAATTAGATGCAGTTAATTTAGGCTCAGCGCGATGGTCCAGTCCCATCCTCTAGTGTTACCCGATATCGTGCCTTAGTTATCCTAGATTCATGACTTCATCGGCTTCAGCATCGTAGTCTCCATCTTCTCTTTTTAATGCAGGAGACATTAATGTGCTGAATTCATGGGATGAGCTCAGATTGAAGCGGTGTTCTGCAGCGGCCGATCGATTTCGTGGAATACGGAGATATCTCATTCGGACATCCTTAAATTAACATGATGGCAGCCAGCTTCCACGTCATGCGCGCTAAAGACATCTTCTCGGAACGAGTCAAGACGATTCGAGGAACTCTGGATCGGCCGAATGTTCCCCGACCGCACCGAAATGGCTCATGAAACTCGTAAAGGACATAAATTTGGCCTAACGTAACACGTCCTCGATAAGGTGTCTCGAAGGCCAGGGATTAATCCTTATTGGCCTAATTGGTCCGTAGGTCGAGGATTGAGTTACTTTTGAGCGGAAAAAGGTAGGCCTTGGCCTAACCCGAAGACAGTCCTTCGGTTAGGCCACGGCCGAACGTTAGTGATTTCCGTAGAGAAGGGGGGAAGGTGGGTGGGGCTTAAGGTTTAAGAAAGGTAAAACCATTGAAAATTGGGTTTCACATTATTACATCTTAATTTGACCAGCGCATGATTTCATAAAGAGTTCGACATTAGGAACGAAATGATGTGTCAGGGCTTCTTTGGACATCCATCGGACGTTCAGCAAAGGAACTTCCAAAGACATACTTTCACAGTCTAACCACGGATGTCCTTGGTTGGAGTCCCCGCCCCGTTGAGGCCCTCCATCTGGCCTGTCATCTAGCAGTTCATTCAATAAACACAAAGATCCCGCAATGTTAGCGAGGGGGCAATGATCCCACTACCGTATGTCTCCTGATTTCCTTAATGCTAATGAATTGTTCTGCGGAGGCTCTCCTTCTCTACTCGATAATTTCCCATTTGCAAGAAGAAGGAAAGAAGTCATTCCAATTTGTTCATTTGTGGAGAAACGTAAGAAAGCTCAAGAAGACTACTGGCAATTCTTGCACATTGCACGGAGAGAAAGTGGTTCCCCTTGCCAAGAAAGCCTATTCCTTTCTTATTCGGGTCAGACCACCCTTGGCGATGGAAAAAGTCTCTTGATTTGAGAGATAAGGATGGGTAATTGAGAGTTACATCTCATTAATACCTTACTTTCCGCATTGACGAATCACACCTTTGTTCCTCCCATGAATATGAGTGGGTGAGGTCGTAAAATTGCAGAAAGTATACCTCTCCCATGCTTTGAATGTCTGTTAAGATGCGAATTATGCTCAATAGCTACCTGGGAATTAATATCGCTGCACCCCTCAATGGTCATCCAAAAGCTTTCCCAAAGGGAACCTGCAATCGAAACAAAGAGATGGACATCCAATAGTCCATCCAATGGACATGTCCAAGGATTTCCCTTGGACGAGACATTTAGTCATCCAGGAGATATCCGAGGAGGATATACATTGGATGCCCAAGTGCCCATGAGGATATGTCCAATGGATTTATTTTGAAGCAAAATGGCTACGCGGGTATGTTTGCTATCGCCATGACATCCTGTATACGTCCAGAGAGACGACATCCTCTGGACAACTGGACGCGTTTTGGATCACCCATGGCTACTTGGGAAACTTTAATCAGGCAAGTTATATGCAGGACAGTGGATGCGGGAAGACTTCGCCCCTTTTCGCATTAAGTGTGCAAATGTTCTAACTGTGTCATTTAATGTTTCCATTCTCATTCCATTCTGAAATGACAGCTTCAAGGAATAGCTTTTTCTTCAGGCTCCCAACAATTGTTCTTACGAGCTCCCATTGTAAATTCAAGCCCAAATTGAGAGAAGAGCTCTTTTCATTTTGTGAAAGTGGAACTCTATGAGGAGCGCTTGAAATTTGTTTAGTAATTTTTTGCAGCACCTTTCCCTGAAAAGCAAGATAGTTGATCACTTTAACTATGATAATTTTCTGAATTTAATATGAAATATAAACAAATTTTCTTTCCTGTTTCATTGGATAGATGGATGTAATATCAGCAGTTTAAAGAAGTACCGCAATAAATTTTCCAAATTTCCATTGGAAATCTCACTTCCAGAGTTTCCATGTATATTTCTTTCCCTTTGGAAGATAATAAATTTCCGAGGAAGGAAAATTTCGCGGTGAGGGTGAGAGTTTCCTTTGCAATGCGCTGGGAGATGTATTCCAAAGTTTTCTTTCAATGGAATTATTTTATTAGCATTCTTTGAACGCCAATGCGAGAAACCCCTCCGGTGTGGACGAGAAAGAAAAGTAATGGTATGGAAGAAAATTAACTGCAAACTGTACCCTTTCCGGTTTAAAGAATCTCGGGAATCTGATTAACAATGTAAAGCAGCCACTGTTGCGAGACACTTGACATTGCATTCCTCGTTTGAAATTAACAGGCATATAGCTTTTGAATTTAGCTCGAACAGAACCAACTGAGATATTCCAGGAACTCGGCTAAAGAATCAAAATTGTACGTGTACGTACCCATCACAAGTAGCAACACATGCTGAATTTCAGCCATCATAACCTGAACGGATACATGAATTAATGTACCACTTATGACATGCCGAACCACGGTGGTATCACAATACAGCACTGTGACTCTCAGGAGTCACAAGACATGCATGCGTATCAGAGGAAAGGGTGGGCGAGAATCCGGCTTCCTTGACCATTCTTCTCCCCGTTGATGAGCGTATCATCCATCCGGTTCGGATGACGTTTTGCTCATCGCGTCTTTCTTCCTGTATTACTATTCTTTTTCGGGGGGGTTAGGGCACTCCCGTCATCCTTTTCCACTGAGGCTTCTCTTCATGTTGCCAAATACAGTGGTCGATATGCGTTCGGTGCTGATGAGGAATGCCCACTCGAGTACGGGCTGAAGTTGCTCGGTTCGATGATCTTCATCTCCGGGGAAGGGAAACTGAGGCAACAACAGAGGAATTCTCCATCTTGCGTCATGAAAATGAGCAGAGTCGTGAATCAGTCATCCATAATAACTTGTTGTTTGCACCAACAAGAAGCATCTGCTTACCCATAGTCCATTATTCAAGGTCACAAATGTATTTATTTAGTGTTGAAATGATAGCGAACTGGTTCGCCCTTTCCTTACTCGATGACAGGATGTGGATGTTAAGGACTAATATCGCGGACAGAACTCGGAATCGAATGAGGTGGCTTTTCCTCTGACATGGACATCAGTACAGTCAGCGGCAGAATAACTTATTTTCTGGCCTAGACACAGGACACCACGGAGATGCAATTCATGAAGGACAATGACAGAGATCATGACGTCCGAAGCACGTGGCAGAACATCGGAATGCGACATTTCCCAAATGCAGCGGCAGCGTATACATTTTGGGAAATGGTGAATGGAGTATGACAGCAGGAAATTGTCCAATACCAGGTGTGTTCAAGGGGTTAAAGTGCTACGGGAACATAAAAATGGACCCCCCTGAATCGAAATTTCGCTCTATAATTGTTGCAGGAGACCTCGAGAAGGGCCTGACTGCTGGCATTTTCAGGTCACGTTCTTGCCATGATCTGAGGGATGGGACACCCGACATCCCTGTCCAAAAGCAATGTAATGAGACCAAGTCACGGTCTGACTGAAAACAAAATTATAAAGGCAATTGGCAGATATTTGAGTACTTGAAAAGAAAATAACATGGATTGAAAATAACATCAAGGATGGGAAAAACAGGAAATGGAAGGATATGGGAATCGATCCATGTCTCTTATCCTGCTTAGGGATACTTGGGAACGCAAGCACTTGTTTTTTTTTTATTTACCGAAATCCATCCTCAGTGAACTGAATGCCCACAAAGTTTCAATATCATACGTTTGCCCTTTTCGCTGGTGAAAACACACGTTTGGAAAAGCCGACCCACCCAAAAGCTATGCCCGGAGGGGATGCACCATGAATGCTGAATACACCCTCAGCTCAGTAATATCATGTCACTTATAGGTGTGCCAAATTTCACCTTTCCATTTCTGTCCAATTCGGCACAAAAAATTTTTTCCTTCAAAACATTGCCTCTCGAAAAAGTTCCCCCGGTGATTTATCACGACATAACATTTTTCTTTAACTCCTTGTCTCAGTAGTCACATTCATGCAAAGTTTCAGCTGTCCATGTTCATCAGTTTAACTGATTAAAAAATTAGTTGAAAATATCTTCCTTTGAAATGTATGCCCCCAAGGCATTTGCTTCCAAAGTCTGAAATTTTCTGCAGCATCCCAATAGGTAGTTATGTATTTATACCAAGTTTCATCTATCCACACCAGCTCAATACGCCAGGACAAAAAAAATACTTGAAAACGTCAACCACAAAAAAATATGCCCCCAGGGCATGGATCTAACATTTTGCATTTTTCCTGAACTTAACGTCACGGTAGCCACATACTTGCCAAGTTTCAGCTTTCCATGTCTCTCCGTTTTACTCAAGCAAAAATAATATTATGGAGGGGGAATGAGTAATGGGACATGGAAGGCAAAAAAAGCCAAAAGAAAGCCAACAAACGGCCAGGAATCGAACCTGGACCTTCTGATTGCCACTCAGAGTTGCTATTACTACACCACCGAACCCAGCACATCCAGTTGACTCTCGGAATGCTGTCACAAAATTTAATATATTAAAAAAAAAGTTTTCCCCCCAAAATTTGTACCCCCAGGGCACGTACCTTCAAAATGGGATTTTTTTCTGGCGTATTGAGCTGGTGTGGATAGATGAAACTTGGTATAAATACATAACTACCTATTGGGATGCT